GGCGTCCAACAAATAGGGGCAACAATTGCCCAACGTACAATACGAATATTTAGTGCACCTGGGATTCCTATTCGAAAGCGCGACAAAAATTCCAGAAGAATGTCCCTGACCGTTTTCACGGTTCTTCTTGTCAAGACCAAGAATGGAGACTCGATTGTTCGCGAGGTGGAGTAAAACGGGTGACGGAATGAAAGGATTAAAAGTGAGCTGCAGATTATTTTTAGCAAATTCCAGAATCCAGCGACAATAAACATGCTTCCGAGTGTTTTCATTGAGTCGGACTGTATCTGGCGATGGTGTATGCTGATTGCTATTTTTTTTTCTACCTCTCCCCTTCTGACGTCTACATCGTCCCATGACAGTGACGATACTGGTTGGTTATGTTCGCGTGGGCGTCAGTGGGTGTCAGTGGGTGCCCGAGGAATCAATCCTGGAATAATGAGGGAGGGGTGCGGGGGACTCCTGGATCGTTCTTCAACCTTTGAAAGGAGCTGTAGAACCGAGTTTTGTCTAAAGTTGCGTAAGCGAATAAAAGCAGGAGTAAAACGGAGGAGCCAAGAGGATCCAGAATAAATAATCTCAGGAACGTATTGAAATAGTCGTACCGGAAGTCCCCCTGTATCATTCGCAAAAATAGATGTCATAGGTATTTTAGTTTTGGCACAGTCTGTACGTCGATTGGGTTGCTAGATACGCATACGTCCTGGTCACACTTTGAGTTCAGCCCAATTCGGAATTCGTAGGTCGTCTCCTAGAAGAAGGTGCAGCTACAGGGTCAAAGAGTAACTGACAGGGTGCAAGCGGGAACGTCGGAGGAAAAACAAATGATGACTGATTTCTCAATTTCGTCCTCGCGCACCTATCGTCCCTCCATCCGATCCATTAGACGGACTATTTTTGTCCAGCCGTTAAAGTTTAAGTTTGTATCAAGTTCCATGAAAGTGCTTGTAATGTGATGCTGGTTGACCCTGACCTAGCCTTCCCCGTGTTAATGTCGTAAAAGGGTATGTACATAGAATACATGTATACAGGTGTATCCTATACGCTATAGGATATACCCAGGTCCACCACGAGCAGAAGCATATGTGGGGTTCACATAATGATCGCGATCCCTTTGCGCTATATATATTTCTATTGCGGCTCTCTACCAGTTAGATATACCCAGAACGATGCGTCACGTGTCATCGAGCAGCTCAGTTCAGTATGCCGGCGTGAGGCGATATTCGAAGCTGAAAAATATTGATAAACCAAATTGTCAGTCGATGGGAAACGTAATTAGGAGAAAATGTATGTGGAGATGCGGGGAAAGAAAAAAAAATAGGGTCATACCGATAAAAGCTGACGTAACCGGTTGCAGGCAGAGGAGTCGAGTTCCTCGTAAGACGCGCCTGGAATCCGCGTTGATTTAACGTCCGAGTCAATTTTAGAACGGCAGCGGGTAGAGAAGGTAGCCAGTGGAAGAAAGGGAAAAGCCAAAGAAAAGACAGAAATAAAAGTAGAGGATGGTCTCCTTCGGCGTGCACATTGCACCTTGACAGTGAACGACAAGTCGGTTAAAGCCGCGCGCGCGGTCGGGATTACTCGGGCGAATTTCTAATGCACGAATCGAGCTGAGACTCGCGGTGCGAGCTGCTCTCGTGATCCGGCTATTTTATTGTCAACCTCAATTGAATGTCCGTCGGGCAGAGTTACCAATCTGAAAACATGAGTCACTCGAAACTGGAGCGTCAAGGCCAGCAGGATTGTCTTTGAGGTATAATAAGACAAGTCCTTAGAAATTCAAATGCTGCCATAGGTCTCTATGGCAGAGAGGCTCTTGGTTATGTTGTGGCGCGTCGCAATGCTAAGTCACAGAATCATCTGACAATGGAAATGGCAGGTAAACAAATCATCGTTCAACATAAACCAACGAGTACGAGAGACTCACCTCTTGAGACTGGCGTGTTTGGCCCCGTTCAAGATTTTATGTTTCTTTTCGCTTCCCACGGTGCTGGCGTCGCTGCCGATGCTATAGAGACTGTCGTCCTTGACGACCCTCGAGGACGAGTGGAGGGTCGACTTCCTAGTCGCCGTCGTGCCGTTGTACTTCGGACTCTCGACCAGGCTGCCATTTTGATTTTGAAGTTCAACGTGATCCCGGGAATCGTCGATCCGCGATGCTATCGTCCCGATCATCGCTTTGCTCGACTCGACGATCTTCGTCGGCGAGGAGGCTTGCACCAGGACGCTCCTCTGACTGGACAGCTTCTCCAGGTGGTAATTCGGATTGTTGTTCCCTGGAGGAGGCTTGTCATCGGTCGGTAACATGTACGAGAGCATTTTCGTATTTTCCTTCACCTGCGGCCGAGAACAAAGGAGAATATTTTTTTAAGCACCGACCGTGAATAACGGACCAGTAATTTCTCGTAGAAATAACGATGACGGCGCATGACGTCACGTGACAGGCCGAACAAAGAATTTTGGAATTTCTGAGAAAAAAAAACCGCTCGAAAAATAATTTTTATGAATGAAAAGTAAGTGAGGTCAGGTGCCTTTGGTCTCTGAGTGTCTGGAAGTCTCGGACGGGAATGTCGATAGATCGTGAAGGATCGATCGAGTATCAATATCTTATATTCTTCTCTGCGGTACGATTTTACTCCTGGGGTACCAAGATACCCCGGCACCGTTAACTTCCGCGTCGTCCAGCGAAAGCAACACGGGACTGTATACTATATAGATTACAGAGTGTCTCGAGTCTGATAATACATTCATAATGTGTATATATATATATATATATTATTGTGAATGCGCTAGGGAAACTGATAAAAGCACACTGTTCCTTTATTAGTTTGTCGATAAGCAGAACTTGGAGAGTACCACTACTGTACGGACGAAATAAATCATTCGCAGGATGGGATGAATAATTGAGATTACTTTTATTAAACTTCATTGTTTCCTATGGCGACTGTAGACCACGTGCGCGTTATCGAAATGTCATTCCTATCGCAAGTTTGTAATTACATTGATGACATTATTACTTGGCACGTCTATACGTGTAGCATAGCGCCGAACGCGAAACAAATGGGAAATCAATTATCTGTCACTACCGTGTAGTGCGATTGTGTAGAACGTAGTGCGATGATTAGAAAAAAAAACATAATAGAATAAAAATAATTAAACACTAACGGTCAGCAGTCAGTAATAAATTCGTTACTATTAATGACCGACGATGACAGTAGAACGTAGTTGAAACTGATCTCAGATCAATTCTATGGGCACTCTTGGCGTCATTAAAACTACGAAGGATCCTAATAAAGAGAGGGAGAAAGAGAGTATAACAAATTGAAAAGTACTACAAAAAAAAACCAGTCATCTATCAGCCAATAGATCCATCACATAGTGAATATGATCCAGTGTAGCTTTATTGGTTAAAGAAAAACAAAAAGTGAACTCATCAGGTAAATAACTGCTCGCGAGTATCAGAACTGTCAGACGTAACTGTTTGTCTAAAGTTCCTAAATTGTCACGCGAGCCACGAGCATCAATCGTCACGACTCACCATTTTCTTTAAATTGGCCACGAGAGAGACGCATCAGTTCCAAATTGTCATATCGGTGTAACTTGTTTTTCAGGAATCCTTTCCATAAGCACAGCACAGACGCATCCGACAAAGGCACTTGCGTAACGAACGTCCGAACGAACGTCTTTTCGAGACACGTTAACTCAATCGACAAAAAGAAACGTATGACAACTGCCGAGTTTTAAAATCGTCGAAAAAGTTCACGTTAAGTCCACCGAACGTCGCATAGTCGAATTTAAATCGCGCGTAGTTGACAGATGTCGTTGCGTGCGTCGCGTCCGTAACTACAGTTGACACTGGATGCTCTTGCGAAGACGAGCCACGGTCACGACGTAGACGACGGGAACGACCGGGAGGACGAATAGAAGGAGCGTTCACCAGGAGAACGTCGAGTGGCAACTGGCGGCGACCGCTGCGCGGGCAACCGCGACGCAAAACAGACCCAAAGGTTACGAATGGCCGGCCGGCCTGTCTATACCTACGCTTGTATACCTATATACAGCTATATACCTACTCCGCGCTACACTACGTAGCAGCACTACATCGAGCTACGGCCACGGCTACGACACTGCGACGTCGCTCAGGACGTCAGGATTTGGACTGGCTGCTTTGTTAAGGTTAATTGTACAATAGAGCATCGTCTACTTGTAGATACGTACGCGTGCTATAAAACTAATACAGGAATAACTTGTATTAGTCGCGCGTAGAAGAAACTTTAAAAAAAGAATCGTGCAATTGACATAACAATGATTCATCCAGTATATACTTGACGAAAAATCGAAGAGTTTCGCGGAATTGAATTTCTTGCCGCTGACAACTGCTGTGTCAGTACATTGTACGTGTCTGTGTAGCATAAAAGCAGTTGGTCACGAATTACGGCCTGTAAGCTCGATAGTCACGTTCGAAACTCTCAAAGTGAATGAGTTTATTAATCGGTGCCTCGACTATTGCTGTGGTTCACACGGTACAGCCACACGCGGGGACATTCTCGCGCATTAACTGTCGACATGCACGAAATTTCTAATGCGTGTATCGGAATCGTTCAGTTCAGAAGAAATGCAAGCTGGTACATAGAAGAGCTTGGAAGCTCGTAATTCCTGTGCTTATTCTACTGGATAGTGGTTTTATGGGTATTGAGAGTATACGAAAGATAAAAATGAGAGAGGATGCGCGCGCACGTATGCAGCCTGTAGGCAGGTATGAACGAAACACGTGTGCTCAAGAAAAGATCCGTCGTGAAGTTAGCAACCGTTGACTTTTCAAACGAACGAACTTCACAGTCGTACCTCGTCCCTTCGACCCTTTGACTCACCCTGTTCAAGAAGAATAATGTAAGCGTGCAGAGTCTCGTGGCCTCGGCCCTGGAACTTCATCGGGAAGCGCTGAAACAGGAAGCGGGACACAGTTCAGTACAGGTTAGTATAACCAATCCCAGTCATTGTAACAGAGAAGAGATTAGACCTTAAGGTAGATGCGAAATGTAGGTCTCGCTCGGTAAAGGCTTCTTTTCTCTGGTGTTCACGGGGCGGAGGGAACTGTGTGGCTAAGGTAGATTGGATGTTTCAGAAAGAAGAAGAAGAAGGAAAGAAGACGAAGAAGAAAAGAAGAAGGGATAATGATAAGAGACTCGCAGTTTGTAGCGAGTTAGCGAACGACTCTGTAATGTCTGGGATCCCGGCGGGGATGCGTTTCAAAAGAAACCTGGCTACCACGGGTCTCTTCATCCAACGTTAGCCACGTGAATAGCTGCTTTTGCAGACGTGTAATACGAGGCTGGCCTATCTTCAGCCGAGAGAACGTCAGTCTTGAAAACTCTCAAGAGTTCATTTTTCACCTGAGTCGACTTTTTCCTGGCATGAAAGGAAGATCGAATGGAACAATCACGCAGCAGCGTGTAAACGCACACGCAATATTCATAAGCATGTGATACGGGGTGCCGTGTATATAGAGAAAAGGAAAATCAGTCTATATAAGAGGGAAGCGGTGGAATGTGCGGCCGGTAGGTAAATAATACAAACACGACGTATATACGTATAAAAGAGAAGTGATAGTTAAAAAAAAGAATACAATTGCAGCAGCTGCATGCAGTTGATAGGACGCAGTTAAATCAACATACGAATATACATATATTGACTCGACTTAATGAACTAGCTAACTTTGTGTCTTGGTACGATCGCGAATGCCCACTGTGTCCAGCCTCGGTGCACTCAATTATTGCGCAACGATGCAATGCGCTCGAGTGCACTGGAGCACTAAATTGATAAATTTGCCTACCCCGCCGACCTTGCACGCTCTCTCATCCCTCTTGCGCCTATGCACTCGACAGTGAATAGCGTTCCCGTTGCACTGGGCGCATCCGCACGTGATCCAAGACTTGCCATACAGTATAGTTGATTATTAAAAAGAGTAATAGGACATTAAAAGGGTTCAAGCTGCAGCAAGTCGTTCGGCTGGAGTCTGAGTCATCAATGAGTTTCCATTGATCGATCTGCTCAAGGAACGATCCCCCCACTGAGGTAGCCGATTGCGTATTCACAGTTTCAAGAGAACGGCCACATCCCGCGATCGTCACTCTGTCTACCGCCGTACGATTCTTGAGATCTGGCAAGAAGTCCCTTTATATTTTTGTATGCTCCTACTTGATTCGCACGCTCACGCACTCTAGCGCCATCTCTCTCCGACTCCCGGAAACTCGCGTCTCTTCCTCCTCGCCACTCGACCGCTTGTTGTTTGCCGCGTAGCAAGCAAAACACGTCCGTAAGCACAGCGGAGACGCAGCGCCCGAAGTGGATGAAATCATCAGTCGGGGTATGACGTAATGTCCAAATGACGAAAAATTTCTACGGGAGCAACAAGGTCTCTGCTAGTTACATACATTTCTTTCTTTGCGTACCTCTTTTTCTTTTTTACGTTCTCTTACCAAACTACCAGAAATCTGTTCTAACGCCTTTCCTTTGACTAGGGATGGACGAGGGGTCCGCGGCAGGGGATAAGAATTAATGTTAGACAATTCGTATAATTGCACAAGTCGTTACACAAGTGAAAAAAGAAACTCAAAAAAAGTTGCACCGCTGACTCAGTACGCTTGAGGCATTTAATGGAGATCTCGTTTCGTTGCTAGATTCAGGCGGCTGCCGAATCACCTTTACCTGCTGCCGTCGGTAAATGTCAAGCGACTGACAGGTACAGTAGATCCCAGGGGGTAAAAGAAAAAGAAATTACGAGGATATTTTTTTAAAAATATTTTTCATACTTCCCCTCTTTTCTCGGAACCTCGTCAATTTTCAAAAATAACCTAAAACCTTCATAGTGTCCTATATCCTGAGACCTGACACAGACTGTCAATAGGCTGAACACTCTTCCTTCGCTTCCGGCAAAGGTTAACCAACCACTCTGTTGAGACTTCCGGTTGTCGTGAGATCGCTACGTCGTGACTTCCTGTTAACTGTCGATCGTGCTACGTGAACGTCTCGATTAGGAATCGTTTATCTAAGAAAGAGCCAGAGGAAATCTACGTCCACTCTCCCAGTGAACATAACAGTACCAACATAACCACGTGCGCCCTTTCGTGCCACCAGTGCCCTTATAACGTTACAGCGTAGCCCATACAACAGGAACCACTTTATTACTTCTAATTCTAATTCTAATTCATCCGTTCGGCATTCACTCTCGCACAGAATAATTCCTCCGAAATGTCAAACGTAATGTCATGCGCGCCGTAAGCCGTTACCATTAATTCCGGCTACGAGATTCACGTGCGGCGCGACGTGTGCGAAGCGTTGCGAAAGTAAAGAAGCGGCCACACGTGGGCGACCCATCTGCTCAAATATTGTATTTAAATGGGCTGCGTGTATGAATATTTATTCTACGTGGGTCTTGTGGCGAGAAAAGGCCACGTTGACTCTCTACACCGTTCGAGTACTCCTCTCCAAGCTCCTCAGATCCTCGAAACTGAGTCCTTGGCCGGCTCTTTTCTATCCTTGGCAAACGGGCACGCGTGCCCGGTGTTGAAGAGTGAACGGGGACTTTTGACAAATTCTATACTCGCCAACGAATTCCAGTCCAATTCTTCCGTTTCGAGATCCACAGGCACTCGGGGCTCGAGTATCGCCGTAAAGACTATATGTATACTCCGTACTCGATAACAGACGAAATAAATCGGCGGATGAGCGACGGTTTGGGGTCGCTCGGCGCAATTTATCGCGTTTACAGCCGATTCGAGTGGCTCTCTCGAAATAGAGTTCTCCCGTTCTAGTGTTACCTGCACTGCGATTCGCTTCTCTCTCTCTCTCGCGCTCAGTGACACAGTCACTTTCTCTCTCTCTCTCTCAATCTCCGTAATTCTCTCTCGCGCCTCCAACACTGCTCAAGGCTGACTTTTCCGACGGTGCAACCGACTGTCGCTATGGGTTGCATAATAGGACGACCGATTCACGGTTCTTCTCCTGCTGCCACGCCGTTGCTGCTCGCGGAACGAAAGAACGCTTTACAGAGGAACGATTCCGGAGACGGGAAATCCGCCACGCTTTGACCGTAACCAATTCCGCGTGGCTTCACGGCGGCCCTTTCTTGCAACCGTCGGATCGTCCTACGCCGATTTTCACTAGCCCTGTTCGACATGCCCTCGTTATCACCAGAAACCAGGTAAACGATCCTGGAAGACTCAAAAACCCCAATCGGTAATAACCGATCTTCGTGGTTCACCAAGATAACGATCAGGACTTCGAATTGATCTAGGATCACCCAGTACAGCTCAATCGTCCAGGTACCCCCAGGGCGTCCCATAGGAAGTCGTCGCTCACGACGCTGTAATGATCGGTAACCAGGTAGGGGTTCCGTCCTGGACATTAAGGTAACTGTAGCACCGCAGACCGTAACGCGATCCGTTCAGATTATGTACGGAGGACAAGATGGCGGCCATATTGCATCATGGTAAAAAAGCAAGTCGTCGTTATTATTAGATACCCGATATATTACCGGTACGGTTTGATCGGCCGATTTTACCTCCCGAGAGGGTGTCTCTCCTCTCTCGCCACGTTCGTATCATTTGATCGCTCGACGAGGAACGAAGCCAGAAGTCATCATCCCCGCCGCCGCTTTGGGTCCACTATGGAACTGAGACGGCTCGGCTCTTTAGGTGCATCGACCTTGCCGGTCCATCCGACTTGACTGAATGCATTTGCCGGAACCTATATAGATTACTAATTGTTCAATCAGCGGATCGTTGGGAGTCTCGCCAATTCGCTCGATGGATATATCCTTCTTGGAAGACATCAATAAAAAGTTCTTACTGCCTGAGAATACTCCGGTAATGGAGTACCGAGCAGATAACTTTCTATTTGGATCCTGTAGACTGGTCCGTAGGACCTGAGTATACAGGGTCGTTCACTGGTACACGTATTATACATCTACGGTACGGAGACATCGGTTGGAACGTGACAGCCGTCATCTAATGACGTCTATACTGTACTTATATGTTTTTCTTTGACTCAATTCTCGGGAATTGGTACAGGTCCAAGACTGTCGCATTAGCAGCTGTGCAATCTCACTGGGTCAAACTCCAACTGAATTGCCCGGTACAGGGATGCTGAATATTAAAAAGTATAACATCCGGTTTTTTCAAAGGGTAAACGATTTGTAAGTCAACAAACGGTTGTTTCTGGTACCACTCGGTATGCAGCTCGACTACTGAACTCGTTGCAATTGAATTTCCTACGCAGTGGTTCTCAGCGGACGACGGAGAGCTCAAAATTAATATACGAATGATAAAAGAGCTCTCTCGCGTGTCTCTCGATGCTGAACGAGGCAGGTGTGACAGCAAAATTCAAATGACAAACCCTTGTTTAACTGGTATCTTTGTAATTGGCCCGCTGCCCGTGATAGCAACCGGCAATGGGAATAAATAACAGTTACGTTTATCGCGGAGTCCATATTTATTAAAATCCTAAGGGTGCGGAGTACACGCAAGCGCCAGACTCACCCTTCGTAAGCGCACGCATACAGCAATCGGAGGGTAGTCGATACACAATGGGGCTCGTTCGTAAGGGATCGAGCTTCCCCATTTACATTTAATCCCATCGGCAGAGACGCTGGCTCAGCTGGGAGCCATCGGAGAGCACGAGGTAGGACCCAGTTGCTATGATGAACCTGTACGGATTCTGGCAGCTGGTTGGGTGCCAGACAATATGTGGGCCGACGCTGTCTCTTGGCATTATCACCCGGAAGAGAGAGAGAGAGAGAGAGAGAGAGAGAAATCATACAGGAGCAATCGACCGGTACTCCAGGCACCTACGGCTCACCGGTCCTGACCAGGTTCCACGCTCAGCCAAGAGAGGGACGTATATTACGCTTCTTGGAAACAGGATTTTAATCTGCACGTGAT